AAGATAAAGAACTATTGTCTAAGAAAATGACAAAAATATACGTTAAAAAATCTGAAGAAACAAAGTGTAGTTGACAGAGAGCAGCAATAACTGTTCTTCTAATACTGAAAACAGTTCTTTTCCCCCATGTCTGCAAAGTCATATGCTTTGAGCTTCTGCCATTGCAGATCATGTAGCTTCCTACCAGGCAACGACTATGCTAGCCATTCCTCTCACCTCTAAATTATTTTCCACCATAGCACTCCCACTCGTAGACCTGTAAACGTCAGCACATAAAATATCGTAAGTTGGTCTATATGGAGAAGTTTGTTAGGAGTAACTGCTGTGCTGTGAACTCTACTTTATTCAAACCAAAGATGTAGTTGCATGACTGGCTCCCTGCAGCGAAGCCTGTTTCAGAAGTTCCCATCTACCTTTTACAGGTCACTCACTCCTGTTCTCGTTTGACACACTGTTCTGCAAACTGCAGCCTGTGTGGAACCACACTGCAAACTGTATCACTAAAATAATCTAGGTTAAGAACAACCCTCCTATACAAAAATGAAGGGGACTTTTTTTTAACTATTTCAGTTATTCAGATTACAGAGGAGTCCTACAGTAAGCAGTTTCAAGTGGCACAACAGAGGCACCAGCAAACTGCCAGGAGTACGGGGGTAGAGAAACAGTAGTTAGGGCAGCTTCTCTGATCAGCATTCCCAAAGCCAAGATATGGTGCAGATGCACTAATTCCCTGTGCACGTACTTACGCTGTAGTTTTACGATACAGCTACATCAGTCTGACAGCTGCTGCCAGGGTGGATGCTCTCCCCATCGCATGCTGCTTCTGCTCCCTTTGCACTAACCCTGTCGCTGGAATAAAAACGATAGCTTTTCGCAAGCTAGCTCACTCAGGGATCAGAAAAGGAGGCCTGGTGAGCAACGTCTTTTGACAACAGCTAGGAGTTATATTTTCTTACCCAGCTAAAAAAAAAAAACCTGCCCCCTCCACCTGCACACAGATGCCTGTGTGGCCATGATTAACACAGGCTAAAGGTGCGGTTTCATGCAACTGTGGGAAACTCCTAGAGCGCGTCACTGTTTACTTTCCCTGGTCTCATGCTCCCACTGCTTCAGCGTATTGCACCGGGCGAACGCAGAGCCGCGAGCCGGTTCTGTGAGCCTCCCTGACAGAGCACCAGCATACCACACAGCTGAACAGGGAGCGAGGAGGAGCAGGAGGACGGAGCTTACACTGAGTGACAGGATCAGCCCTTTCCCATAGCAGCCACAATGAAACTGCATGAGGTTAACATCAAACTGCACTCAAGGACAGATCAGTGCAAAACAGTTAACATAAATTAAAACCCCTGGTTAACCTTTTCTAGTCTACTTGTCTTATAAATAAGTCCTTTCATCTAGGATAGTGGTTTTTAAGCATACAGTCTGCATTCTCTGGACTTCTAACAAGTCTGAAAAGTAACAGCAGCAACAACAACCAAAAAAAAGAGCAAACTTAGTCATACAGATGTTTGCCCCCTTCACTGAAAAATTTCCTGAGATCAAAAAAACTCATTCTGCAAAGCGTACACAAAGCAATGACTAACAACTATTTTGGGGAGGGGGCTGGAGGCGGACACGCCAAGGAAGACAAGCTCATGTTCCCACATCAGCAGGGTATTTTTCAAGAGCAGAGGGGAAAAAGCCAATAAAAATCTAGCACTAGTCTAACAAACTTCAGGAAGATGTTCAAAAAATATTCAAAAATATTAAGTGAACGTATATGCTGCACTCAGCTGACCCTCTCCACATGGCAGGACAACTGTTTCAACACTGGCGGAAAAAAATGCATGGCAAAAATCTTAATTTTACTCTTTGTCAGACACGGCTTGCCTTGGTAGTGCAGACAAAGCCTTAAAGTTCAACGTGGCCACATAACGAAAACTGACAGAAAAGCCAATATTGCTTTGCCCTCTGCGGTCTGAGCTACTCTTTTATTACAATCAGGTTACCCAGAGCTAGTAAAGCAGCTTGTAAATTACAACATGAGAGAAAAGCTTTTTTTGCCTTTTCTCAATATTTCTTAAGGATAATCAAACATACTATTGTTTTGGTAGTTATCAACAGAGAATGAGAAATAGTTTAAGACTGTATTCAAAGACTAGTTAATGTTAGGCCACAGTTTTTATGCCCTTCTGCTTTCCTCCTGCTTCCCAACTGCTCATTCTCATCTGTGAGCAACCCTTTCCAGTGGGCTCACACAAGCATTTGTGTGGCCAGACAGCGAAGCAGGTCAGAGAAGACAGCGCGTGTGTGGGGGAAGACAGGCAGGGCAGTTTAGCCTCAGATCAGTTCCTCAACCTGTTCCCTGTGTAGCCCCATAAATATTTGGGTAGGACGGCTAGGGGTAGCAGTGCCCGTTATTTGAGAAACTATGGCCTGTAGTCTAAAACAAAATTTTAAGTAACTTTAAAAATAAATTTAGGATTCACTAGTGTATAAAGTTCTGTCCTTGCTATCAGGACCACTATCTCTGTAATTCCCCTTCAGAATCTTATGGTTTGAAAAGTGAAGGCAGCCCATTTATAACTCTTAGTGTATATAAAAACTAACAGAGAACTTCAGTATTTTCACCGAACTGAAAAAGCTGCCTTTTTTCTGCCTTGTGTCTACATACTAGAAAGCACGTAGCCCCTCACTGATACAAGTCTTTCTATGGCAGATGACTCAAAACAAAAAGAAATACTAGGAGAAAAACAAAGCATTAGTAACCTGAGCACATCATTATGAACATACCTTGCCAGCAGTTCTGCCACTTTTTAAATCTAGGAACTCTTACCCAGTGCTCTGCACTAATTCCAACTATAGCACTGGAAGGAATGGGAGTCTACAAAACGGCCAAGGTTAAAAGGCTACAGAAACGCAGCTAGGCACAGAAACGCCACTCTTCAGCAAATGCGGAACCCCACAAATACTGCAAACAGCTACATTTTTTGTTGCTACTACAATCTTAAAATAAAATGAAAAAAGAGCAAGTGCATTGCATGTTCTTTCCAAGTGACTGCAAAATACAGTACATGGTATTTAATCCATACTGGGTTTCATGACTTCCATATCAATACGAGGAAAGCCAGAAGGACATGTTGCAAATATCCTATCAGTAAGAGATGGTAAAAGGTCTTCTCAAACACATCAGGTTAGTCTTCTTGAACACATTGGGTTATAGATGTCAGTCAGCCACCAAATTAAACTTCTTGGTCAAAGCAAATTCTTTGAATGAGCATGATTCTATGTCACGTCCAAAGCCACATACAAGTCCCCTGTCACTGGCTGTTACAGAGTTATCACTCCTACCCGCTTGTCACATTTCACCATCACCACTACAAGAGGTTATTATCCTCTTGGATCCATTACCTCAGAGTTTCCCAATCCATTTAAGAAGAAATGACTTGGATTAACAAAGATATACTATTGAGGCTGTCTCTTCTAACCTTGCCTGTGTTTTCCACTGACACAAAGTTTTAGGATTTTTCACAAGAATGGCTTGAACAGGAGGCAGTTACTTTTAGCGGAGAAGTGGTGGGCTCCGACTATCACAGGTGAGTCAGATAAGAACACTATTTTATGGCCTAAAAGACAGGCCACAAAATTTGCAACCTTGTAGGAGAAGGGATCTCCTGCGGTTTAATCCTGACCCAAAGACATCCAGGAATTAATTTATAGCCTGACTAAGTCTGGAATCAGAAAATAACTTTCCCTATGTAGAATATGCACATGACATTGGATCAGGGCGAATATACCCAGAGCGATATATTCATATCCACTTTTCCCAATGTCATCCAGTCCTTAGATAATTTTGTGAGCGTAAATTGTGGCACTAAACCTGTAAACCTTGATAGATCAGGATCTCTGCAATGCTGTGGGCCTGACTGAAGCCTTGCAAGAAAGTCTTGAGAAGGAAGATTATGAAAGATTATTTCAGTGCCTGCACCAACTAAAATTGATGCTTTTCAGGCTTTTATATGACATAAAAAAGGAGATGACAGGTTGGAGGTGGAAGATTCACTTTGGAAATTTACTTGCATCAGTATGACCCCAAAATGAAAGCAGGCTCAAAAGCAAATTTTCCCTAACAATAAAAAGTTGTCCCCTTCCATATTCTAGCTCGTCAGCTTTATTAGCTCACTTTTGTATCAATTTAACAACAGAAAAAAAACAAAAAACACAAAGTTAAGGTTACGAACAACGTAATGAGACTCATCAAATTTTACCCTACGTCATTTTAAACATCTTGCACTAATTATTTTCCTTTGTGTCTTATTTTTAGTATTTGTCCTATGATTGAACCTTGGCAGACTGACACACAACCAGGATATATGGCACAGAGCTCCCAAAAGCATTTAAATCCACGCTACAATACTGGAGAGATGAAAGCAAGTCAGTGACACAGGTAACCCCAGGGATCAACCCAACTACAGAAAAAAAAACAGTATTTCAAAACAAATTTTAATTTGCTTTTCAAAAAAGTAATTTCCTCTATGAAAATCTGCCATTTTTAAAACAAGGGGAAGTGACAGCATTTCTTAAATTATCTTTATTTCCACCTTGAAATGTTTTCTTTCTTCTATGTGTCTCATTAAAACAGCTACTATTTTTTAAAAATTTGCAAGCACCTGTAAAAGCTGTTGCAGATACTCAAAATCCAGCAACATTTTCAATCTGCTGACTTGTTGGAAATAAATATATATATACAATCATACATGTTAGATTTATTGCTTGTTTCACAGCTAGTGAAACAAAATTTGCTCAAGATGCCAAAATATCAGCAAGCTCTAAAGTAGCATTTTCAATTGGTGCAGGAAGAGAAGGAGAGGACTTCTAGAAGCAACATCGAGCCACTTACCAAAAATCTATGGAAAGTTACATCCATCACAGTATACAGTGCTATTATCAAACAAACAAGCAAACCAACCAACCACACGCTTTGCAATTAAAGAGATTTTCCAGGTAGAAAAGTAATTTACCTGATTTTGCTCTGCAGTCTAATCCTACTATGTCCTGGATTACTCATTTGTTCACCTTAGCCCGGCATCCTAAATCCGCATCACCCTTCTGGACTGCAAATCCGCTTCTGACAGAACATTGGTACTCTCTGCATAAGCATGGTAAAAAAGAAGAAGAAAAAAAGTAGTACTAACGAAAGATGAAAGTAACGTAACATACATTCAGAAGTTCCTCTACCCCAAACGTGAGGAGCACACAATGCACAACTATGTATTAATGTACCTAAATATAAAGAATCTGTAGGTCTTAAACTGTGATGGGGTAACATACTTAGCCCCTACAAAAAAGCCCACGGTTCATAAAAGTCAGTTGGCCCACTGCAGATTACAGGATGAAGGCCTTTGAGGCCCGTCCAGCCATGTAGGAAGCTCCCTATAAAGAGCAGAATATCAAGCAGAACATGAACATCAGCAGCTACATTTAGATAGTAAAATCATCTTCTGTTGCATACTGATTAGACCGAAACATTGTCAAGGCAATAGAGGAGAGAAACCTGTAGAAAAGACAGATTCACAGGTGTGCAACCAAAACTAAAAATAGCATGTATCATAACAAAAACATATGGCCAGATATATAAGTATTTTGCTCTACTACAAAGAGCAGTAATTCCAGACGCCAGGTTTAGCATCTCAGTCTGCCTTGGAATCCAACGCAGAAACTGGATGCGGTGGAGATGAGGAACCGACCCTGGCCTCAGCAATTATGGCTTCAAAGCGAAGTCTTAGCCTACCTTTTTAGCGTAACAATACCAGAGAGACCTTCCTCTCGTCAAGACTCAAGACTGATGAAGCCTTGCTTCACTATCACATCCTTCTGCTATGAGGAAAAGACAAGAGACCTGCCTGCTAACTTTATCTTCATCTAATATTTCCCTTGAGCCTCAGGGAAACTCTCCAGGACTAATTTCAGCCAGTTTTAATTTATTTGATGTAAAGTGAACATATTAGGCCAGAAATTAGAATAGCAAGTATGTAAGCATATTTAGGATGATTACATGAATGCTCAAAGAAAGGTTTCAATGTCTACTCTATCAAAACAAAACCAAAACAACCCCCCCCCCACACACACACAGCAAGGCCATAACAATACTTTGCCCCTCTCCACCAGAACTAGCAAACGCACTTGCTGCCTTTAGGAAGGCTTCAGGGGGGTAAATTCAGGACGGCTTTGTACAGCACTCCCACCTAACGGGCAAAGGGTTTAGTCGTTACTCTCCTTCACACAAGTGGGCTATAACCTCCCCATGGGCAACCGCCATGGGGAGGCGGCAGCTGGAAGACACCCTACATCCCTCCTTGTCCTCCAGACGTCTGCGTTTTGGTCTTTCTTCATCTACCAAAACATCACAAGTTAAATTTAAGTTGGCACCTTCTACTAAGGCCGGTAAGTACTAAACACAATTCAGCACCGTGAGAAATAGAAACAACTACAGCGGTATCTAGTGCACATTTACTAACTCAGCAGTGGCTTAAACAAGTACATACAGATGAAGTGTGTCAGCGTGTGCCTGTTCAGAAAGTGCTAGAAAAAGAAATTAATTGCAAGGATGAAACAGTGCACAAAGCATATTCTTCCAATGCAGTTTTCTGAAGGAGAAAGAAAATAATCTTTCACTTGCTTCTGCAGCAGCAAGTCCAAAGCTGTCCTGTCACAAAAAAACGCTCACAAAATAAACCAGCACACGCTGCGCTAGACTCGCGCTAAGCATCCCTTCTCCCCCTCCGACGACACCAGCACGCAGCTACATTTCCAACGACTTTCCCACACGACCCTCCATGTCGCACGCACCGGCGATGCCCGTCGACAGCGGGAGCATAACCCGCGCGCCGCGCCGCCCTGCCCACCTGCAGCACA